TGTGTGTCTCTCTCTGTGTCTCTCTCTGTCTCTCTCTGTATATCCTCTGTCTCTCTCTCTCTCTCTCTCTCTCTCTCTCTCTCTCTCTCTCTCTCTCTCTCTCTCTCTCTCTCTCTCTCTCTCTCTCTCTCTCTCTCTCTCTCTCTCTCTCTCTCTCTCCCACACTTTCTCTCTCCTTTTATCTATCTCTATCACCTAACCCATTGGATCTCGAAGAAAGAAAAAAAAAAGATAGAACAAAGAGAGAATTTAGAACCGAGAAATCCGACGAAGCAGACAGAGAGAAAGGCAGACGCAAGCAGAAGCAGAACCCGAAGAGAAAGTGTGTGCGTGTGTGCGTGCGTGTGCGTGTGTGCGTTTTTTTTCTATCTCCGTCTAGACGTTAACCAAGCAAACAGATGTAGAAGAAGTGCAGGAAATAATGAAGAAAAGAGAAGAGAGAGAGAGAAAAGAGAAAAAGAAAGAGAAAGAGAGAAGAGAGAGGAGAGAGGAAGAGAAGAGAAAAGAGAAAGAGAAGAGAGGAAAGAGAGAAGAGAGAAGAGAGAGAGAGAAGAGAGGACAGAGACAGAGACAGAGAGAAAGAGGAAGAGAAGAAAGAGAGAGAGGGGGGGATAAGGGAAATGGAAGGAAATGCAAAAAAAAAAAAGGAAGAGGAAGGGGAGGAAAGGGTTTAAAAGAAGGGATAAGGAGAATGGAAGAAGAGGAGGAGATAAAGGGAGAAGAAGAAGGAAGTAGGGAATGGAGGAAGCGAAAAAGGAGAGGAGGAAGAGGAAAAGTTTGGGAAAAAAGGAAAAAGGAAAAACAAAAAGGAAAATTAAAAAATTGGAAGAGGACGGAGCGGAAAAAGAAAATAGAAAAAGGGGAAGGAAGAATTGAACTATTTGGCGATTTTTTAAAAAATTGAAAAAAAAAAAGAAAAAGGAGAACAAAAAAAAAAAAAAAACACAAAAAAAAAAAAAAAAAAAACAAGGGGGACGAAACTTGGGGACATTTTAAAAAATTTTAAAAAATAAATAAAAAAGAGGAGCCAGGAAAAAAAAAAAAAAACAACCCACAA